AAATAAAGAAACAAAACACCAAAGAATTCTGGTAAACTCCTGAAGAATTCTTCTTTCTGGATATGAATAGAGCCTCGGATAATACATAATCAAAATATATATAACAATTGTACTTGTCTTGATTTTGGTTAGCGGTTTATTGATTTAAAATCTCAGAAATGACAAGTTTACAATGTATTTGATAGGTCTAGTCTACACATATGTAAGGTGAATCAAAAAGTTAATATTCATATTACTTGGCTGGTGAAAGCAATGAATGTCATTTTACATTAAATAAAATTCACGAAGCCAATTTGCTGGCGGTGTTTTAAGTTTAATAATTTTTAAAACAATATATAAATAGACATAAAGTATGTTCGATGAGAAGTTTGAAAAAAAATATAATGAATGTATTTCAATGTAAATGATGAAAAACGGTGTCGATGATTCTGTTTGAAAAACTAATGAATTAACAAAATAAATAAATAAATAAATAAATCGTTCAAAAACTGGATTGAAAAGGATAGAAGGAGAAGGGCGATGTTTAAAAACGCGTATTTCGTTGCAGGTACGCACTAACGGGTGGAAAGGGGGGGGGGACAATCACTTTCACCCGCCAGAGAATACCCGGGCCCCACGTTGGGCGCCAAATGTCACAGGTGGTGAAAAATCAAGTCTCAACCGGGACTCGAACCCAGGGCCTCTGGCGTACCGTGCCAGCGCTCTAACCAACTGAGCTATTGAGACCCGATATATTGACTGACTTTCACGCACCTGTGAACCCGGTGACATATGGAGGTTCCAGCGAGAGGTTTCCCATGGAAATGGGAAGACCAGGAAGAGAGAGCTTTTCAGGACATTAAAGATAAGTTAACATCCCCGCCGATCCTTGCATTTGCAGATTTTGAGTCACCATTCATTTTGCACACCGACGCATTAACGACAGGACTTGGAGCTGTCCTCTACCAAGACCACAATGGACAAAAGAGAGTGATTGCATACGCCAGCAGGGGACTCAAAAACAGAGAAAAACATTACCCAGCCCACAAGTTGGAATTTCTCTCCTTGAGGTGGGCAGTTACGGAAAAGTTCCACGATTACCTTTATGGGAATACCTTCCAGGTTGTAACGGACAATAATCCCGGCCCCTTACTTATATTCTTACCTCTGCAAAGCTGGATGCAACAGGTCATAGATGGCTAGCTGCATTGAACAACTACAACTTTTCTTTACACTATCGAAAAGGAGCCAATAACAGTGATGCAGATGGTTTATCGAGAAGATCCCAGGACACTGTAGAAATAGTTCCAGAAATGGTGAAGACAATTTGTAATTCCTACACTATCCAGAGAGACAATTGTCCACTGGTGGAAAATGTACTTCTACCCGTCAACATTCCAACATGTATGCCAGTGAGTTTACAAGACATTGGGGAAGCAGGTAACATTTCAAATACATCAGAACCTCTCACCCCTATCCCTGACTCCATTCAGATAGATGATTCATGTGTATTCAGTAATGTTGATTGGGCAAAAGAACAGTCATCTGACAAGGTCATTAAAAGAGTTATAGAATTATTGCAAGGTGACTTTGTTCCTCCAAGTACCGCCTTAAAAGCAGAATCTCCAGAAGTGAGTAAATTTATGAGAGAATCAAGAAAATTGTGTCTAATTAAGGGTATTTTATACCGAAACACTATATTAAATAATGAAAATGTAAAGCAACTAGTATTACCAGCTTCTTTCAGAGAAATAGCATTCTATTTACTACATAGCAATTTAGGGCACCATGGCCGAGACAGAACTCTGCAACTGATGAGAGAAAGATTTTACTGGCCTTGTCTCGAACATGACATCACGGAAAGCATAAAAACCTGCGACAGTTGTATAAAATTTAAAATCCCAGAGAAAGTCTCAACAGAACTTGTCAACATCAAATCATACCAACCTTTAGATCTACTATGTATTGACTTTTCAACTCTTGAAAAAAGCAAAGGTGGTTATGAAAACATCCTAGTAATCACTGATCATTTTACGAGATATGCCAAAGCTTTTCCCACTCGTAATCAAACTGCCAAGACCATTGCTAGAATTCTATTTGAAAATTTTATTGTACACTATGGCTTTCCCAACAGACTTCACAGCGACCAGGGTCGGAATTTTACCAGCCATGTCATCAGGGAGCTGTGTAAACTAGCTGGAGTACAACAGTCACGTACCACGCCCTACCACCCTATGGGTAATGGGATGGTAGAACGGTTCAATCAAACCCTACTTAAAATGCTCGGTACGCTGAATGACAAACAGAAAGAGGATTGGAAGTCATATGTAAGTACCTTAGTTCACGCGTACAATGTAACCAAACATGACAGTACGGGTTTTTCGCCATTTTCCCTCATGTTTGGGCGACATCCGCGCCTGTCTATTGACGCATATTTAGGCTTGGATACAGAAGCCTAACAGTCATGACAATTACTCTAAGAAGCTTCAGAAACGATTAGAATATGCATACAAAATTGCTTCTCGGGAAGCTGAAAAGAGTAGTGCACGAAACAAATCTAACTATGATAAAAGAGTAAGACATTCAAAAATACAGGTCGGTGACCGTATTTTGGTAAGAAATGTTGGGTTGAAAGGGAAGAATAAACTGGCAGATAAGTGGGCCAGAGACACTTATATTGTTGTAGGTCAACCCAACACTGATATTCCAGTTTACAGAGTTAAAAAAGAGTTTGGGTCAGAAAAGGTGAAAACATTGCATAGAAATATGTTATTACCGATCTCATCTCCCCAGGGTAGCTGATACAGAGCAAACCATTCCTAAGCGTAGGACTACCCCTGCCCCTGAGCAAACCATTCCTAAGAGTAGTTATAGGACTACCCCTGCCCCTGAGCAGACCACCCCTAATCAGATCATTCCTGATCAAGGTTTTAAGACTACCCCTTATATGACACTCCCCAAGGTGAGTCCCACTTCTAATATTGTTGATACATTGTCTGACTCGTCAACTTCTGATTCAGAATCATCAGATAGTTCCCAGGTATATGTGATTCCTCAGAGGAGGGTAAAGCCTAGCATTATTCGTTTGAAAACTCCTAGTACAATAAAGGGTTCTCGTGATTTCCAGGACACTATGTCTACATCTGATCCCAGTGCTGCATTTACAGGTAATTCAACTTTGAATCGTAATGCAACATTTAGTAATACTAGTTCCTTTGTAAATAGTCCATCTGCCAATGTACCCCCTCGTAGATCAACCAGACAGGTAAGACCCCCAGACAAGTATGGTTAGTGGGTTTCACATCAGATTAATCCAGTGGTTTATTTTGTTTGAGTACTTTTCTATTGTTCAGGGTATAATGTCATATGAAATGATATTCTTCAATTTGGTTTTTATGACGATTCTTTTGTATATAGGAATTTGTATATTTTTGTGTTTTACTAACGTTAATCTGAAATTTATAAAATGTCAGTAGCCATTTTCCTAAGCAGGGGAGAATGTCACAGATGTTATGTTTTCATTTGTACATAAAATTGACGCGCATTGCCAATCGAATGCGTTTGCTGCGGTTTGTGTCGTGTGTCTAGTGTGAATGTTTTGTGAGATCATGTGACATTGTTTATTTTGTATTTCCACGTGTTTCCGGTTAGGTGACCTAATGTGACCTCACAGCTGACCAATAACTGACTGTTTTTATCTTATTAATATGCATGTTTTAATTTCTGCACCGAGTATATAAGCGTGGTACCCGCCAATTCTCGACCCCCCACGCTTTTTGCCTTTACGGTAGAAGTCTGTACATGTATTTGAAACATAGAAGTATTCTGTAAAGTATTACTTGGAGTTAATTTAACTGGATTCCTGGTAAGCTTTCTGTTTACCTTTATTATAATTATTATATAAATGTATTTTATAATTTACTTTTATTAATTAATCCCGACAGCAAACAATCATATAATTTATGTGTTGTTAATGTCTGATCTTAAATGTAAAGTATTCGTTTTGTGTGTGTATATTGTGTTGTGAGAGTGTGTTTAATTTATACTTTGTAGGTTTTTTGTTCTAAGCACAGTAAATAAACATAGTTTGTGCCGAATCCAGTGTTGGATATTTATCCTACAAAAGACCCGGTGACAATGGCGCCCAACGTTGGGCCAAATGTAACAGAGACATGTATGTGCCTCTGCTGGGGATTGAACCCGAGGCCTCTGGCTTGCCAGTCCAGTGCTCTACCATTTGAGCTAAAGGGTTAACCCACTAGCCTAAGCTAGTAGGAAGCCGTGTATCTTACACTATCACATTGTCCCCCTCCAGAGAATGAGATGTCCTCATCTCTTTTTGGAGTGCCAACGCCTGCGGGGCGAAGTTCTGGTGGCAATCACTTTCACCCGCCAGAGAATATCCGGGCCCCACGTTGGGCGCCAAATGTCACAGGTGGTGAAAAATCAAGTCTCAACCGGGACTCGAACCCAGGGCCTCTGGCGTACCGTGCCAGCTCTCTAACCACCTGAGCTATTAAGACCCGATATATTGACTGACTTTCACGCACCTGTGAACCCGGTGACATATTTCCCCTCTTTGTAGAAATTCGTCCTCGAATTCTATGAGTTAAGGAAATGCGTGAAGCATGTTCCAAGGTAATAGTGGGTATTTGTTCGTTGGGTGCCAAATGTCACAGTTGCGGTAGTCTATTGAACTCGCTGCGCTCGTTATTTAAACTTTTCAAAAGAGAAAAAACTCTGACACAGCTTCCTTGACACAACTTTGTCTTCTGTTGATGCCATAGTTTCCCAAATATATGTCAGGGTACTCTTTATCATCCAGATTTTCAACTTCATTTAATCTAGTATGCAACTCTTTTAAATTAAGTATAATGGAGCACTCTTCTCATATGCAAAATTTAATGAATTGTTTTTATACATGTGTATGGAAAGCATGTACAGGTATAATGTACTGCACTATAGAAATGTTTCTTAAAAATAGATTGATGAAAATATAATTGAACTATTGTAAAAACAGTGAAGTCTTAATTTCTCATCAAGCCAGCGTTTTATTATCTACAAACGTTTTGATTTTGTACAAGTAAGTAAAATAAAGCCAAAATGTAACAGATTATACACTGAAGTGTTACAAAATTAAAAAAAAAAAGATCAGCGGTAAACAATAGGAATAAATGTTTTAAAAATTCTCTAAATAATGAGCACATTAAATATAGTATCTCTCTCCCTTTCTCTCTTAGAATATACGTACAAACATAAGCACCTTTACATTATATATACATTTTCATGTGGATATCCATTCATCTTCTACACACAGAGTTCATTGATAAAAGGCGAATTAAGGAACTCTTCTATTGTGACTGTATCATCTGTGAAAGGAAATAAATATTCAATGCTTTAGAAACTGATGAAAACAAAGAGGTTAAATGGAAAAATTATGCAAAGTTTGCAACAGTAAATGCATGATATTTACTGCCATTTATCGGGAAAATAAGAGGATAAACGCAAATTAGACTCACCATCAATTACTGAGGATTATTCTTTAATTAATGAAGTTATTAATTAAAAGTTTTTCTTATTTAGCTTTGTTTGATTAAGTTATGTTTTTTCCGATTTCCTGTCATCGTAAGACACAAAATTTAAATTAGGTCGTGTATTTCAAGAAGGTACTGAAAATCGTATTTACAGTACTAGTAATAATTACTTGTAATGATAAAGTCAAGATAATTAAGAAACCAAATACTTACCTTGATCAAGATCCATATTTTCAAAAAATTCATCCAATTCTAACAGTCCTGTTGCCTCCATCAATATTTCAAGTTCTTCTTCGGTGATTTTCTTGTCTTGGTTCCAGTCAAATGTTGAAAATTCGCACAAATTCAATTGCGATGTTTCCTTAAAATATATGCTAGATATATTTTTGTTTTTTTTTTAATTGTAGATATATATCAAAGAACAAGTATTTATCGAAGCAATAAGAAGTAAGTACATATATTAATGAATATTTACATTTGCAAAAGTTTTTCCTTATATAACACTATTTGAACAAGGCGTTTTTACAATTGTGTAAAACAAGTTCGTCATGTGACCATAAATTTATTGTTTAGTCATAACCGATCTACGTAATTTCACAGTGACGTTATAAGTGATCAACGTGTTCAACACATTCAATTTACACCGTTATGTTTCCAAAAAAAAAAAAAAATCATTTATGGGTTTAAAACTTTAGTACCTTACTATTTGTAATAAATCAGTCACAAATGTAAATGTAAGTATAAAGGTATCATTTGATTGATTGATTGATTGATTGTATGTTGTTTAACGTCCCTCTCGAGAATTTTTCACTCATGTGGAGACGCCACCGCTTGCCGGTGGAGAGCTGCAAATTTTGTCCTATACTCGGCACTTACGGCCATTGAGCAGTGAGGGTTCTTTTTCGTGCCAGCACCTACTGCGACACGGGACCTCGGTTTATACGGTCTCATCCGAAGGACCGGTCTCCACGTCCCACAGTGGGATTCGAACCCGCGACGTAAGGATCAACTCCTTACTTCGCGACTCTAGAGCAGACACTCTACCACTGCGCCACGCGGGCGACAAGGTATCATTTGAAAAGTTTTATCAAGATGTAAATACGGGTTGGCATGTGATCAAATCTACTACAAAGCCCTTCGGGCTTTATGGGATTTGATTACATGACCAACCCTTATTTACACCCCGAAAAACTTTTAAAATGATACCTTATTTCTTAATTAATCATTTGTTGTTAAACGCCGAATCGGCATTATTTCAGCCATTTAACTACAGGATATACCATATAGACTAGGGAAAACAAACCTCGATAGTTGAACGCTTCTTTAAGGATTTAATTATATCTATGACGTCTTTAGCATCTTTCACTGCCTTTCCTGCGCTTTCTATCCTTTCCCCAGCGTCTTTTCCCTTTGAAAGAAACTTTAAATAACTTTTTGACCAACTATTTCATTTCTTACTCAATTTTTTTCATTATGACATGAAAATGAAAGCTTTTATGTTTTTATTTATTTCATAAGGAAATTCAGATTATTTATTTTTCATAAAATAAATATTCTATATTTATAAATCCAGACTTTTAAAATGTTTTGTCCGTTATTGATAACAAATGCAATGTCAGTCTTTTAAGTTTACTCATATTACTTTCCATTGATCTTGGTCTGTTTTAGTCTAAAGAAATATGTGAAAAGCGAAATGTCATTTTCATTACGATTCGACTATCTATGAAACTTGCAAAATTTTATACAAGTTCCACTTTAGTTGTTCAACAATTTTACCTTTTCAAAAGTGTCTTTGATGTTTTCATGGGCGCTTTTTGCCTTATCCACTACCGTTTTTACTTGCTGAACTTTGTGAACGATTTTAGGAACTTCTTTCTTTATAAATTTGCCGACTCTTCTGAAGAATTTTTTAATTCGCCTCCATCCTTCAACTTCCTGAGTAAGTAAGCAGGTGATGATCAAAATCACAAAAAACTTCCGAAACTGAAATAAAATAAAAAAAACAAAACAAAATATATTACTTAAAAAGTTAAATGGCAAAGTAATTTGGATAAGACATTCATTTATTTCTTTTCTAATAAACTGCACATACTGTGGAATCATTAAAATTCGTGGAGACCAATTTTCGTGGATTACTTACATTTTACAGGTTCTTGGGAATGTAATTTCGTTAGTTCTCTTATAACAATAAGAGGAAATATGACTTTGTAACCCTAGTTTATTAAAATTCGTGGACGGTGTCAATTCGTGGATGTGAGGTGGTCATGAATTCCACGAAAATTGAGCCACCTAAAAATCTAATTCTTTCACAGTAACTTTTAAGAAGCAACAGAGATTACTAAGCACTACTAAGTATCAATAAAATTGAATAAACATTACAATATATTTCAAAAGGCGGTGAACGGTTTTTAATTTAACATTTCTGGCAAATTTGAATTTAGAGATAAATAACGGCTAAAGGAGCAAAATACATTTTAAACTTTTGAATGAGAAGATATAGGTCTTTCATATTTCACATGGCCGAGCGCTTTAGCGCGCTGTTCTTGTACTTCTAGGAGACAGATTCCGTAGGTCGAGAGTTCGATCCCGGGTAGGGGCCAAATGAGTCGCCTTATAAAGAGGATTCATTTGTTATATATATGCTTACCACAATGGCTTTTAAAATGTTTTGAACAAATGACAATAACATTTCATTAAAGATTAAAAAAATGTCCTGGAGCAAGTAATGAATACTTTGTTTTTGTACAGACAATGACAGTACCTATGTTACTAGTATTTTTTTCACAGCCAAAAGTAATGAGAAAAAAAGTAGGACATGTTTGTCAGAGAAAAAGTGAACAAAAATAATTGTAAGGTAAGCAATCTAGAGGCAGAACAGTTAATCAATAGGAAAATGTGTCCAAAATGTTCACTAAAAATGAAAAGTGAGAGGAAGTATTAAAAGGATCTTACCATGTTCCCTGTATTTACCATTTAATAAAAATGTTTCCCTTCTTATATAATACACTGATTCTTACGTCATTTACAAAAGTTAAATATCACATATTAATAATCTGCAATGTAAATCATGCATGCAGAGGGTTTGCACAACTCTTTTACAAAAATAATATAGAGCACAAAAGAATTCTGGTGAATTCCTGCAGAATACTTCTTTCTGGATATGAAATGAGCCTCGCGTATTATATATATAGATTGTACTTGTCTTGGCGGTTTATTGGTTTAAAATGTCGGAAATTAAAAGTTTACAATGTATTTGATAGGTCTAGTCTACATACAGGTAAAGTGAATATAAAAAAAATAAATATTGATATTGTTTGGTAGATGAAGACAATTAATGCTAAATAATGCTAAATAAAATTCACGAACTTCAAGTCAATTTCTTTGGTGGTGTTTAAAATCTAATAATTATTAAAACAAAATACACAAAGCCACAATTTTTGTTTTATGAACGTTTGAAAAAAATATCATTGAAGATATTTGAATGTAAATAATGACAAATAGTGGGATGATTCTGTTTGAAATACTAGTTGGAAGAGAAACAAATGAATAAAAAAAAAAAACAACACAAATTGTCCAACTCTGGAGTCAACTGCTGCGTCACTGTGGCTTTCTAAGTTGAAAATCTTTAAAAATATAAATAGATTTGATTAAAAATATTACATAACTGACATTAGTAAAAGTCACAGAAAAAAATCAAAGTACTGAAAGTACTACTACGAGTTGATGGTATTGATTATATAATGTTTAAATGAGTTTAGGTCTCTAGTCCATATATGGATTTTGTGATATTATGTGCATTGATGAAAACTATCACTTTAAAAACTTTTCTTTTTGCTTTCTTTGAGAAATAAAATCATATCATTTTATTTACACCTTTCCCATCATGTATTCTTAACATGTATATTTATTTTTTTTAATATCTACTGGAATGTATAATAATTTATCACAGATCGAACCTTTAAACACAGAAAACAAATAATACTAAGTTAGTTTTGGGATTTTTCGTAAAATGACAATGTAGCTTGCATTTAAACTAATTTGTATTTTTACAAAATATTAAAGGATACCATCATTGAAATGGTCACAGAGCACAGACTATCATCATTAAAACTACCGAGAATAGTTTTTGGGCAATCGATATCATTTGACAGAAATATTATATATCATGTGACTAGAAAATTTCAAATAGGGAAAAAAGAATGGCACAACTGTTGTAAAATCATATTACAGATTTAAAAGAACTAAGTAGACAAAAAAAAAAATTTAAACACACGTATCTCAAACAAATAGGCAAAACCTACAATAGTATTACAAGTAGGGAATTATTATTTACAAATCGCACAAATTGAATTATTTCATTAACATGCTCATTGAATATTTTCACTGCTTTCTTAAATTGACAAACAATTTGACATTTTCAATGCACTTTAATGTGTTCCAATTCTCGTAATTAAGCCAGTCTTGAAATTCTTATCTTTTACTTTCATTTATATATGTATATTACATAATTTAATTTTCTTGATATAGTTACTATTGAAATTCAACTCCTTGTCTTTCAACATTTACACACATATGATATTTCAATTCTCTTGATTTAGCCACTCTTGAAATTCAACCCCCTGTCTTTTATGATCATTGATATGCACAATAAATAATTTTTAATTCTCTTGATTACACTATACTCTTGAAATTGAACTTCTTGACATTTTTAACTTAAATGGTCATTTTATATGTCATTTCGTTTGATTTAGTCACTCTTGAAATATAACTACTTGACTTTAATTGATATGCACATTTTATATATCAATTCCCTTGGTTAAGCCTTTCTTGAAATTCAACTACATGTACTTGACTTTCATTGATACAAGTATGTAAGTTAAAAAATTTCAATTTTTTCGGCTTTTCAACTGAAGACTTAAATTGATCACAATGGCATGATATTGACTATTTACATGATCTATCTACTCTTGAATTAATTTGATTTCTTGATCTTTTCACATTTATAAATATGCATTTCACATTTAATTTATCGATAACACCCCACTTATTTTTTTGTTTTTGTTTTTATTTATTGCCTTCTGTACTATTAATTCACTTTGTAACATGACCAGCATCTGATAGCAAAACACGGCTGGACATATTAAAGGAAACCACTTTCCAGTGTAGTGCCGACAATTAATGAGATAAGAATCACAGGCGTGTTAAGTGACCATTGCTGCATTTAAAGCTTGCTGTGAAACATATCTAGATTGTGGAAGACAGTGTTTTTAACAGGGAAAAAGAAATTGGAGCACAAAGTTGTCCGCTACTGAAAAAATCTAACCCTTGAAGCAATATCGAAATCTTTTATTGCTTGCACAAGAAATAAGAACTTTAATTTCAAAATTGTATTTACTGGTACAGCTCATTTCTTCCGTTTGAGATAAGTAATTGATTTACTTCGACCTTCTTTACAGCAAACTTCCCGTTTTGTTTACAAACAGTGTTCTCTGTATTGAACGATTCATCACTAACGCGGGAAAACTGCTCTGTTCATTAGCATAACAGCGCAAGAATTAGTTTATTTATAAACCACCAGCATGTCAATCTATTAAAAATTACCTGGTTTGTACCATATTCAATTTTGTGAATTTTCCTTAAAAAATCTGTTTTCAAAATATTTCTTATTATATAAAACATTTATTGGTTTATAAATCAAAATTTGGTTTGCACGACATGTAACTTTTGTTGACCGCATGTCCCTAACACTATTTTCTTTTGCGGATGGACACAAATTCCAATAAAATTAATAATAAATATTTATGTTTATAAACACTTCAAAGCATATCAGGAAACATATTCTTGTTCTGTAGATTATTTAAAAATGTAAATAAACCAATATTATACAAGAACCCGTACGCAAAATACTCAAACAAAATGTGATTAGTTTCGATACATTGGGGAATCCCTTACAAGTCACATAACATGAGTTGATACCATCAACTCGTAACAAACACACAAACACATGTACTTTCAAAACTGACCAAAGGACTTGATCATCAAGTTCTTAATCACACCCTTTCTTTGCAATGTTATTTAAATATGTACAGCCAGACTTCATTTGAAATGTTGTCTCAACCAGATCCATTAGGTTGGTGATGTATGCGTAGCCTGAACAGATCTAAAAGGTGAAGATACCAAACAGTGGCCGATCTCATGAATCCTGTATAAAAGATGAATCGCGAACAGGGTAAAATCACGGACCCCTGGAAGCACCAGATGTGGATTCAGGAGCTTAGTAAGAGTAAGCATCCCCTGTTGACCGGTCATACCCGCCGTGATCCTTATGTATTGATCAGGTAAACAGAGTAATCCATAGCCAAAATGGTACACGTGTACTAACAATGACATAACAATTAGTGGAAAAGTACAGTCAAAATAAGACCCAGCGAAAGGTTTTTTTTAAAAACAAGGTCATTATAACGACACTAAAATATGCCGACTTTAAATAAGATGGTTGAAAACCTTGTGTCATCAACTTATTTGTCAGTAGCCTGCCTCTGTTTAAAAATTGATCGTACTCAGAACAAGCTCTTCAGTATCGAATCAGTTTGGAAGCATAAAAACCATTTGTGGGTGATTGTGGAATATTAATATATAAGTGTTTAAGTTGGCGATTAAAAAATAAAGACACCCCATTTGTTATATGATTTAGTTGTAAGTTGGCTATTAACGTCTATAGTCATTAAAATATCCAAATATGAAACATATGCTACAGATCCTATGGTGTCTGTTAAATCTTCAAAGTGCTACGGACTTTTGAGATATCTATATTAATACCTTTAAATATGTTAAATTAACAATAAATTCTTTTCTTAGTCTTGATACAATAAATGATACTTGATATCTAATAAATGGAAAAAAGAATCGATTACAGAGCATGATATTCAAAAATGTGGTGTAGCGATTGGGTACGCATTTTTTGCAACACTATCTTACTCAAACTTGACACATACCTGTATATAGATATGTATACTTTTCAGTAACTATAATTACCAATTTGAAAAGCCTCCTCCCCCCATTCTGACCCCTATCTCTCTTCCTTCGCTTGTTTGTTTGTAACTCAACAAAATTTCCAAAAAGTGGTGACTGTAGCTTTATCGTGGATTTTAGTGGTACATGTGTGGTAATTATTGACAAATCATTTGCAAATGTAAACATGATAGTAGTAGCTTGCGATTCAGTACTCCAAGGAAATTTCCCCCTCTATCAAATGCAGTATGTACTTTTAAGAACGTTCAGGATTGCATGTTTAGAACATTTAATCTGTGATTTGATATTTACGTGTTCAGAGAAGTACATTGTTCTTTGAATACATAATAAAGTTATGAATAATTCATGTGTTGTTTTAATAACGTTTTCATATATCTGATATATTATTTCAATTTTTGAAAATGTACTTACCTATTCATTCCGCCCAGCTGATTCGTTTTTATTTGAAACGTGAAAAGTTTCAATATGTTAAACAGTTCATAACACAGTGAATATTTAACCTGAATTAAAACAACAACCAATTTCTTCAATCAATAACTTCCTATTTTATTCATTGATGATTTGTATAATTCATTTTCTACAAAACTCTCAACTGAATTTCTTTGTCTGGGACAATTAAATTTATATGCTGTTTAAAGTGGTATATAGGAATCTTTCTATCACTAGATAATGTATGAAAAGAGGGAGACAATCCTTTTGAAAATATTGTAACGTATAATGGACCAAGTAATAGCCTAGATTTTGGATTTAGGAATTTTTCTGAATTAACACGCAGATTCAAGGTAAAAAATATGATTGATTCATTTTTCTCGATGAAATGAATATTATTTTAATTACTTTTGTTGTTATTCACAAAAGTAATACAGTATACAGTATTTGTTTTAATTACCTGACTTTGGTCTAGGTAAAGTGTAGGATTACAATGTATTGTCGACATAAGAACTTGCACTGAAAATTAAACAGCTTAATTTATTCACAAATTGAAGTATAAGACAGTGTACTTAAATTTTCAAGGATTAAATATGCACGTGAATGTTTAAACTACTTGAG